AGCTACTCACATTCTACACTTTATCCCTCGGTCGTAGAGAATTGTTTATTTACGTATCTAGGGCGTTATTAGGGCAGTTACGATGCGCAACGTGAAATTAGAGACCAAGTTGCAAAGCATCTCGGACTGTTACACGCTTATTACGCCTGAGATAAATAAAAAAGATCTACGAACAGCTAAAATAAAAAATCAAAAACAATTAAAAGTAAAAGTAAGTTATATTGGATTTAGAATGTCGTCACTTTACTTATTGTCTTATTGTGTTTCTCTCATCAAGTCCTTTCGTTTGATACCAATATAATAGGGGCTACTATGGAAATGATGAATCGCAGTTTTGTAGTATTCGCCATATTGAATTCGAAATGGCGACATTCAATTCATTTTGTATTGTTAGGTGAACCGAACGTGTATATAAAATTTCAGCTCAGTTGGTCAAGGTTACCTGCTTCAAAATTCAGTTTGAATATAGATAAAAACATACTAACAAATAGGTCAAACAAAATACAAGCTTATAATAAATAAGGATTCCCCTATCGGTAATTTGAGTTCATTTTTTGATAGCGGGCGGTAAGTCTACTTTACCGCCCTAAAGCATGAGCGCATCTGTTAACTGAAAAGGGGGATTTGACGCCCAACGAAATTACTCATAAAGCGTTTTCCGCTTGGTGGTAGATAAAAGTTATTGGCGATTTCGGAAAGATGTTTTATCCATATTTATAAAATCTATAAAGATGTATAGTTCTGCTATATCAAGTCTGAAGAAAAATTTGTATTCAACTCGCCAAATTGTTGGGGAGCTAAGTTAGCATTTCTACTTCAAGCTTCAGCTTTCTTCCCAGTACAGAAATAAGAAAAATTAATACAATTTCATCTTTCATACAGAAGAGTAAAGCATATGCACAAATTACAACTTTTAAATTGTACGTATCCTATACCATAACTGGTTTTTGACCGTCTTGATTAGAGTGAAACATTCTCATTAAAATAAACCGCAAACCACGGCATACGTATGTAGTCACATACGTGCAGAATACAGTGGTAGAAGACTGGTAGACTTTTTGTTGCTGGTCGATGAACGAGTGCTTATTGTTACAGCATAATGGAAACTGTACCTAATACCATACCTAAAGAAGTAGCAGATGTTTGAGTTATGTCAGGTGCGGAAATGCGACGGACATTCCTCTTCACCTGGTATGCGATTAGCTGCTGTTGCGAGGTTTTCGCTGTCAAAGTATATAAATAACATAAGTATGGTATAAAAACATTTAAACTATTGCTTAGATACAGTGCGTTGTGAAATTCTACTCCACTGACGGCACTGATTGGAAATATAAATGTTTTTGAAACAACGACGGTCTCAATGCCTAACTTTAAAAATTTTTAAAGTAAATTACATTCAATAATCGCAAGAATTGTGTTCCAAAAGAAATGGGCTGAAAAATTTTTTGAAGAGACGCGTTGCCGTAATATAGCTTGAGATGCGCGACTCTGCTGCAAGTAGGGAATGCAATACCGGGATCCGGAAATACCGGGATCTTGCATGCCATTTGCAGTATTAATCCCGTTCGTAAAATGAGCGCGTCGTCAGCTCCATCGGCGTCGGTGTCTAATTCCTCGGCGTCAGCATCTGTATGTACTGCTTCAAGGAAACGTAACATCACCGATCAATTCCAAAAAGTAGATTGCTCTGTAGAAAAGAAAGTATCACGCATGGTGTCGAAAGATGGTTTACCATTCCGAATTTTCTGCTCTTCGTCGGATTTGCAAAATCTATTTAAAGCCGCTAATTATGATTTACCTACTTCTCCAAATTCTATTAAATTAATGATTATGAATTATGGCACGACTTTAAAAATGACTGTTATTCGAGATCTGTTAAAGATGAAAGAAGACAACAATAAATTCACGCTAACATTCGATGAATGGACTACAAGAAACAGAAGCTACATGAACCTAAATATTCACGAGTTTTCTCAGGAAAAACCTATTTTCTGGAACTTGGGGCTGGTGCGCATTTATGGAAGTTTGCCTGCAGAAGCCTGTATCTCGATTTTAAAGGATAAATTGTCAGAATATGACTTGTCTTCAGATGATGATATAATGTATCACAACTGACAGTGCCAAAGTCATGGTAAAAGTTGGTAATTTTATCAAGCCCGATCAGCAGCTTTGTTATGCGCATGGTATTCAGTTGGCTGTTTTAGATGATATTTACAAACCTTCATCTGAAGGATTAAATGAAGAAATGACTGCGGAAAGTGAAGCCGTCAATGAAGGAACGAATAAATATGATGATGATGATGATATCTTCAAAATGTAGAATTTGATAGCAGCGAAAGTGATGAAGATGGCAGCTTTGATTTATTGTTTCTTTCAAGCGAAATAAATCTGGCTGTGGAATATGCAGAGGTTATAAAGAAAGTAAGAAAGGTGGTCAAACCATAAACACCTTAACGTTTTTGAGAAGCTATTTTCAAAATAAGGTTCAGTTTTCTACTATTGTCAATTTTAATTTCAAAATGTTTTGTTTTCTACTTTTGTCAATTTTGATTTCAAAATAATGTTTAGTTTGTTACTTTTATCAATTTAAATTTCAAAATAATGTTTGCTTTTCTAACTTTGTCAATTTTGAATAGGTAAGTTGATTATTAAAAAACATTGATTGTATAATTGGATTTGTTTCATTAAGTACCGTCAGAAGTTATAAATTATTTGCGAAGGTTTATTATTCATACGGGATCCAGCAAATACCTGGATTCCGCGGGATTGAAAATGTCCAGTCCCGCAAATACCGAATTTTTATCTTTGCTTTGGATGTTGTGATTATCCGTAAGTTGTAAGTGGTGCAAGGTTGTCGAGTGTGGAGGTACAACCCTACGGATCTCTAAGAGCGGCTAGCACCAACTAAGAGTATTCAAAACTAAGTTAGTATGTTGCGGAAAATTTATGAAATTGGCGATTTCCGGAGTGGTGTTCGAATCATGGGATATATTCATATATTTCTAGCAAGATACTAACTCATCTCGGTTGGTGCTCGCTTCCCTAAGTGTCCCCCGCTAAAGTTCGTGTTATAATCTCATTCAAACTTTGCAATTATATCACAAAAATCTTTTACCGATGATTGGAAAAAGTCCATTGCGTAAAAAACATGTTTCTTTCTTTCTGCACCACTGCTGTAGTTTGGGCAATAAGAAGTTTTGTATACAGGATCCCGCAAAGTTGGGACTTTCCTTTGCACGGCGTATAGAGCTCGAAAAATATCGACTTTTCTTATTAGCATATACACAATAGTCTCAAGATAACCGAGATACAGGGTCCGTCAGGGACGTGGATTATACATGGTCCGTCAGAAAGAACGCATGTTCTCTAAATGAGTAGTACAGTCAAAATTAGTATGAGAAAAAATATCTTATTATATCAAAATACTCAGAAACATATGCCATTTTTTTAGTAAAAAAAATACGTTCTAAAAACTATGTCGCCCATATGGCGCCTTTGATCCGAAATGCAGGAATCAAGCCTCTCCCGAAATGAGCTCCTTGCCTCGGCCAGCATCCGTGCAGGAATTTGAGTTACTTCTCTTCTTCTTTCCTCCTTCAAATCGACGAGGGCCCGAGGCTTGCTTTGGTAAACTTTTGATTTCAGGTAGCCCCATAAAAAAACACACGTTGACAGGTCCGGGGAGCGAGAGGGCATGGAATATCGCCATGACGTGAAATGAGACTTTTTTTCCGGAACTTCGACGTCCACATGTCCGTCTCAGAACAGCGTGGTTCCAACAAGACGGGGCAACATCTCACACAGCTTGTCGATTTGAAGGAGGAAATAAGAAGAGAGGTAACCCAAATTCCTGCACGGATGCTGGCCGACGCAATGGGCACATTTCGGGAGAGGCTTGATCCCTGAATTTCAGCTCAAGGGCGCCATATCGCCGACATAGTTTTTAGAACGTAAATTTTGTTTTACTCAAAAAAAAGGCTTGTATTTGTGAGTATTTTGATATAATAAAATATTTTTCACATACTTATTTTGACTGTACTACTCATTTGAAAAACATGCGTTCCTTCTGACGGACCCTGTATTAGGCTACGCAAAATCAATCGGACCTAAACCAAACCTATCCCGCTCCTGTATCTCGATCAGATCAAAAGCAGGACGCATACCAGTACTCAACCCAATGGCAGCGTAGGTAAACAGAAGATTTATTTCTAAAACGCTACCGAGGCTTCGCGAGTATATGCAGATAACTTTCTCAAACGTTACCATCCAAGGCCCAAGGTTCGTTTACGTTGTGCAACGAGGAAAAAATACAGGTCATTTGCAGGAATGACGAGGTGGGCAAATGGCAGACCTAGACCACAACAAATGATGCAAACTGAGGAAGGAGTATTGAATCTTGCAGAAGAAAATCCTTCAAAAAGCACTATGGAAGTGGCTATGAGCGGTTTTTGCAGTCCATGTGTTAGTCACGGACGAATCTACCCTCACGCGTAAGGGGATGAATACCTTCCGGAATACTCATGTGCGGTCATTGAAAAATCATCATACAGCCCGTCGGTCACATTTTCAATAACCTCTTTCGTTGAATATTTGGGCTGACTTGGAAAATCGTATGCTTATCGGACCTTTTATTCTCCCAAATCGGCTGGACAATACCTAGACTCTGCGAAACATTTAATCAAAGGCCATAACTTCGAACAGTACTTATAGGTAACAGAGCCCTACTCAAAATTTCTCTGAAAATGAACGGTGAGTATTTTTGTATCTGCTTTTTTACCTTTTCACTACTGTATCACCATAAATTAGCTTTGTTGTTTCAATCGTAGTTGTTTTTGAAAAGAAAAGTCCCAACTTTCAGGACGCCCTGTATATTGATTATGTTGTTCGTATTACACGTTCAAAACTTTGAATCGATGCCTTCATCAAGAAGTATATTATTTTCATTCGATTACATAAATATAACTTCAACATTCTGTATTTCTGTGAGGAAGCCTTTTAGGGTTTATAAGAACGCACTACCCAGAAATACCGTTATTAGTTTCTAATCTAAATATTTCTATTGACTTTTAATTTATTCTGTAGTTCGGAATAAACGAAATTAGTCTCCTGATCAAGAACCAGTTGGTTGCCACCACATTTCTACCAATATTTCAGCGTGATCTGTTTTCCCTGGGCCATCATTTTGTGAGCCTCCTAGGACATTGTGATCTGAAAGTACAGAAAATAAACTTGCCTCTTCATAGAGATTATAATTTTTTGCGTAGCTTCTCAAATTTAAAAAGTAGATTCATAATATGTCATTTCGAATACACTTACGTCAGGAAGTGTGAATAATAATATCTAACAATTAATATGCCTTTATTAGAGGTATGCTCATAAATTACTAACATAAACAGAACAAAAACAGATCTCAATGTACCATTACGAAAGCTCAAAATTATTCTTATGGTTATCACGAAACGTCAAAGATAGCTATGCCTAATTAATAGATCTTTATTTGAGACAGACCCATAAACTACCAATAAAAATAGGACAAAATGGGGAAAGTTTATTTATCTCACCGATCTCCAAACTAAAATAGACAATCTTAAATCTTCCGCATCTGCTAGGCAGCAACACCGTCATTTCTTTCATTATAGCTTGTTTATTTTTGCTTCAGAAATAGGGATAAATCTGTAATTCCACGGGCTTACTCATATGGCTATTTAATGAGCTCGAAATAGATATAACATATGTAAGTATGCGTTTCTGACACAGAAAAAAGTAAACGTGCTGTTTTAAACTGTGGAAACAAATGCGGAACTCGATGTAATGATTAACATTTTCGGATATCAGCGTGTTAGGCTGTCCAAGTCACGGAGTCACGTTTTTCCAGTTAAGAGGACCATATTCTTATAACATTGAAGCGCATTAAGTCACCTTAGTCAACATAGTTTTATAGGAGTCCGATTGTTTTCTGAAAAATGGATGATTTATATGTTGTTCATCCTGTTATTTCAGGTCACGAGACCTCTTCATAATATAGATAGTATTAAGAGACAAAGTATCAATGTTAGACGCCAAACTAACAAAAAAATTGCGTCGTGATGTAAATAATAATATACAGGGTGTAAGGTTAGTAGTGGATCAACGGAAGTCAGGTGATAGAGGACCTCAAAACCTATCGAATGAACCCCTATATGCATGGTCCGAAATTTTATAGTTCAGGACATATTTGCAATTTTCTGAGATTTCGACAAAAAACGGGATAATGAACTTTCAATCACAATTACAACTAAACCATTAGATGTAGGGCTGTAATAAAAAAAACAGAGCTAATTAGAAATCAATGCAAAAAATCTTAAATTCATTTTTTTGTGAAAAATCTCTTACATCCCTCAACTTTGGAGGGTGGTAAAAAAATTGAGGTTGTATTTCATTATTTATTTTATTGTAAAAACTATTACAATCCATGTAGATTAAACCCTGAAAATTTCAGCTTGCTACTATGAATGTATCGTGTTACATTCGTAGCTGTGATGCGATAAAGGTAAGAAACGCAATAGAATCCTTACCACCTACAAGTGACATTTATATATTCAGATGTTTAGATTATCCCCTTAAAAAAACCCCATATAAAAAAATGTAGAGGATTTAAATCGGGTGACCTTGGAGGCCGTCGTATGTGTCCAGCTCTACCTATCCAACTCCCAGGAAAGGCACTGTCTAAGTAATGCCGTACAGCCCATGCAAAGTGGCATGGGGCACCATCGCATTGAAAATACATGTGGCTTCGAACGTCCAAAGGTACATCCTTTAGCAGCTCATGCAAACTGCTTTGTAGAAAAACAAGATATGACTGACCATTCAACCTGGCGGGCAATTCATATGGTCCAATTAATTTTTTGTTGAGTACTCCAGCCCTTAAATTAACGCCGATCTGACGTTGAAAGCTGTGTCGGCGAATAGCGTGTGGATTTTTCACAAAACTAACCATTTAGCTCATTTCAAAAAAAATCACAGCCCTAGACCTAACGGTTTAGTTGTAATTGCGTCTGAAAGTTCATTATCCCGTTTTTTTCGAAATTTCACAAAATGGCAAATATCTCCTGAACTATAAAATTTCGGACCACACATATAGGGACTCATTCGATACGTTTTGAGGCCCTCAGTCACCTGACTTCTGTTGATCGACTACTAACTTTAAACCCTGTATATAATTATATTAGTATGTTGTTTTTTCAATTTGTTTTTAGTAATTATGCGTTATGTAGCATTGCATTGTTTTTAGCTGGTTTTATTAATGTCTGATGTACTTTTTTCTAAGCGTTCTATTAGTATATATTGACATGTGTAAACATTTTCTGTGTATTAACATCACTAAATTATTATTATTAAAATTAACACGTTTCATTTCACCAATTAGTGCAAGAAATAATATGATGAACGAAAGAAGTAAAACAATCTTCTTAGAGGATTTTGAACAGAAATTAATACATTTAACGTCAGTCTGCAATAACTTTACAGTAGCTTTATCCTTTCAAAGTTTATTACTTACAAAGGTTAGCTCTGAATAGCTACTACCCATATCAAATACATACAGCTCAGAAAAAATATCGTTCCTAGGTTATTTCTTATTGGCCAAAACTACAGGATTACAGATTATGAACCAACTGAATCAAGTCTGTGTCTGTGAATAAACTCTTCGACACAGCATCATTCAAGGGCGCATTCCATATTATCCTACGACGGATTCTTCATTTCTAGATTACCGATAAAATCTTTTTCCAATTACTTGTGCAACAAGGCTTACTGTATTGTCTAGTGCATCACTATGGTGCATTGGTGTTGCACAATAGTTTTTGAATTCTTTATGGAGCATTTCAATTCCTGTTCATCTAGCTAATCTCTCTTTTCTCTTTTCTCGCCGATATGATTAATCCTTTAAATCTTCTATACTTCTTTTCTCGTATACAAGTATTTGAAATTATTTTCTCGAACGGTATATGTGCAAATTATTCTCATTTCCAGCTTTCTTCGTTTAATCTCAGAAGCACTGTCCAATAGCATCGAATAAACTTACAAGTATCACCTTTGGTACTTGCATTATCTTTAGTAACAAGTACTAACAATGTAGGTCAGACAATTTTTCAGGATATTTTTAATAAATGTACGAATATTTCATGGATATACTGCATAGTTCAATGTTCTTATGAATTGAGAAAATAGATGAACAAGCTAGTCGATCTTCCTTTTTGATTAAAAAATGAAATACATGAACTTGCAGAAGGACTGTCTCAAACACTCGAGGCCTATGCTGGTAGAATGGTCACTGGCTACTGACTCATAGCACACATAGCACCAACACCCATAGTTATCAGTTAGTCAATGATAGATAAAGCCGGATTCCGTCGATAATGACGCCCAAGTGGAGAATTACTACGAAAACGCGCTAACGCAAATAGATATTTATACAAACAGGAATTTCTTGGTTAAACACTTATACTAAAATAGGTTGACTCACGTTTAACTCCAAAGTTGACGATTCCAGCGTGACGGTGGTTCAAGACGATGGTATTTTACACAGACAGTCCACTGCACATGTTTTCCACACAAAATTTGAAATAACTTCACAACCCGGTCTGGACAGTTCAGTCACTCCCGATCCCGCATTTTGGCTGGTGCAGTCACTCGGGTGAATTCTGGAGGGCAACGCTACTTTAAACCATCGATCGCTCGGCGTCCTGGAATAGTGATGGGGAAAACGAATATAAATTATGAAGCAAGATTCGTCTGCCTTCGTAATATTGGGCTGGACGGAAAAGCTTTTCTGAAGTGAGAGTTAAAGTATTCATACTACACATATCTACACAAAATATTGGCAATCTCAGTCTAGTTCTAGCAATATCGTATGCCGCTTTTATAAAGCTCATATTCAAAAGAGTCAGTTAGGAGAATTCGGATAGCTTCTCTTGATACGAATCTTTGACCATAAAGGTTGTTCTGATAAAGTGCGATACGTGTCTAAGTCGAATGGTAGTCTAAAGTTAGTCCCCAGTCTGTTTTTTTTTTGAGGTGGCGAAGACGTTCTGTTTTTTGATATGCTTAAGAAGTGTTAAATAATAATCTCTAAGAGCAACTGAACTGTTAGGTCAATTGTCTATCGCAGTTAGAGCTACAATATTGAATGACTAAGATATCTGGGCAAAGTTTCAAAAAGTCGAGATTTTGGGATTATAGTCAATCATCTTATCATTGAAAAGTTATTACAACAAAATACTTTTTTGGCAAATTATGAGATTTGAGATGTAATTTTTAATTTCCTGGTTTTTAAATTTGTTTTGTCATTTATCGAGACGATTTGTATTTTGCTTGTCTCTGGACATCAAATGAAATATCGGGACGAATCCCGACCATCTGATAATCTTAACCACAGTCCATGAGAAGCTGTTAGCATTAGTAATCAGCAAGGTTGTAGTTATACTCCATGATAAGTTCCAGTCACACATTTCTTTGGCCATAAAAAGGAAATTGCGCAGCTTTTCTCAGGAAGTAATACAGCCTCCATTCTTCAAGCCGAGAGCTACCAGATTTTCATGTTTTCGCTATCTGTAGAACAATCCTTATGGACAATACTCGGCTCACTTGTGGCTATACAAAATAACCTCTCTGATTTTTTCAATATGAATCACTGAATTTTTCGCAAATGGCATTATGACAAATGCAAAATATTGAAGGAAGCTTACAGAATTAGACAGCCCCTAAAATGACAATAATAAATAAATGTGTTTAAGAATGGATACTAACACCGAATAGAATGCGTCATCTACAAAACCCAAGCCTTTCCCAATTATTGCTGAAAGGAGAAGGATAGCTGTGACAAATTCTCATGATAACTCTACTGTATTTCAGTTCATGTTGGATAATTCTTGGGACACACGAATGTAATATTAGGTTGGCTATTTTCAAGTAGAACATGTTAATATGTCATTAAATGGAATCACATGAGGAAATATTAATACTCCTAAAGCCTTGTGTCGAGTTTACATTTCGATCCTAGACTATAAGTGACTGAATGTTTAAATGGGCTATGAGAACAAATATTTGCACCGCTATCGAAATATGGCAATTAGCAGTCATACCTTGGTACCAAAACCGGAAGAGAGTAGCATGACACATCGTACTCCAATGCTAGCGCGACGAGTCTTTGTACCGACAAAATCGATGCGCGCGGATCCTGTCATATTCAAAGACATCACGTCCCGTTTATTGTAGTTTCCAGTATATTATGCGACTCTCTTCTGTTTCGGTACCAGACTATAGGAATAGGATATGTAGAATCGAAGTAAAAACTATCTCATTATTACTCCTAAATCGAAAATACCTAAATAATATTATAATTTGAAGAATATTTTACAGTCCATTCAAACCTACGAGAAAATTCATTTAATCACTGGTAAGTGAGAAACCAAATGCAAACTCAACTTGTAATTACAAGTTAGACAAGAGAAACAGGCCAAAAATAGCCTATTTACTATCGCTCGCTGCCAATGGAGGGTTCTTAAAAAATGGAAAGGCTACTTAAACTGCAAAACATATCGATCCTAAAATTTAATCAAACCAATGCGGTTAGTGAGCTCACGCGGTTTCTTGTGTTGTACGTATCGTCCAAATTCTATAAACGTATTTTCTCGATTTCGAATGATCAAGATCAAGATGCCTTCCTTATTATGAGTTGGACGGCGGATTGAAAGTAAAAAGAGTATTTGCTGAAGAGCTGACGATGCACAATTTCAGCACAACCTTCACTTCCACTTGAAAACAGTCACTCAAATATACTAAAACGCACAACTGTAATGTCACATTGAATTCCAACACAATGCTTTGTTAAGTTAAATACGTTTACTGATAAGACCTGTTTCATGGTATACTATAAAAACAAGCAGTATTTTGGGTAATCAGCGGTAGGTAAAATAATTAGTGTTTGAAAGTCTATACATTTCGACTTACTGATAAGAAGCCAAAACGGTATTCACATTAACTGCCTATCCTTTAATAACCAGTAATCACGTGGAGTGATTACCCATTATACTTTCATTGGTTCATTAGCAATTCCCGAAGTCAGAGCTGAATTGTAAAGGTATTGTGACTACTATAAGAAGACTTAAATTTTATTTAGAATGGTTTCTTCATATTTCTTCGATGCCTAAGGAATAAATCGACAATAGCGAGTAACTTCTGGATCAAAAAAGTTCAGATACAAAACAACAACATTTTGTCTTGCGACAACAGTTCTGGTGGGCTTTCGTGTTTCTTGAAGGGCTTTTGGTATTTTTAGGACAATGGTCGAGGGTGACGCATTTGGTATATTAAAAAACGATAAACAGCCCCATAGTTGCTTGACATTTTGGAGGGTTGGACGTTCCTTTTTGCGAACGGGAATGCATTCCCTGGTGGCGTGGACCATCTTGAAATTCGAAAAGATGACTTCGCCCAATCTCAGCATGCTGCGGAACTTTCAGGCTATTGTAGTAACACACTGTGTAGGAATATGATAATGAAGAAAAAAACAAACGAACTGTCACCTGCAAAACAGATAAATCAAATAGATGTCATTGTACTGAAGAATATCACCTTTGTGATTGAAGCGTTTACTACAGAAAAGAAGATATGTCAATACATGTGGTTTTATTGACCAGATGAGCATGGGGAACTGAAGAAATTGGATCTTGCCTCATGGAAAAATCGTGCAAATAATGGATAGATCTTGTTACTCATGTATTTTCACCAGATTCATAAATTTTCCGATGTGAATCATTTTTTAATTTTTATAGTCATATGTCTATATCGAAACAATGCAGCATTATTGTATCGAGTCATACTGTGTGTAATACTACCTTAGTATTCTCGAAACATGCATAAAATCCAAGATGATCGTTTGGGCTGTTATAAAATCGCTTAGCCCTTTACCATTTTTCGGAAAACCGCTTCTTTTTGAAGATACAGGTCGAACAAAATTTAGTCATAACATTTCTATGATCATTGTACTTTGTAAAATGCTACAGAGGTGGCCGAAACGTCAGATCATTTAATAGGTCAAGAAAGCTTTCACTACCTCTAGCCGCAAACCAGCTAGGGTAATTCCCTATGGAACCGTTCAAACCTACTAGTTTACATCGAAGATGAGAACCGAACTTAGTCATTTTGAACATTTGTTATAAATTAAGAACCGAATAAGATAAATAAATCAAATGTGTTATTTTGAAAAATTTTGATCGCTCTCTTCCACACGAAGTCTTCTAAAATATTTAACTGATGCAGTTGCAATTCTAGTAACAGGTGCCCGAGAGACCTAAAAGCAATACCAACAACATGTCGCTTGCGTGGCAAAATCTGCGTAATAATGATAATACTTATTGCATTTGTGGATCTACCCATTTAATTATGGCTAGGAAATTAAATTAATTGTCTAACTGATTGTAGATTAATTTCGTTTTATAAAACATTGATGACAGCAGCAGACATGTACCACTTTCTATTTGGAATTAAAGATCGATTTGATAAGCCTTTTCAATTACCGATTGAACATTGCCTGTCGGACAGAGCACCCACAATATTGTCGCCTGATAGCCGGTTAATTGCATTTATTGCGGGTATTTTAAATGAGGTAGGTCAATAGTCTGAGATCCCATGAACAGCAAAATGTCAATTCATGCTCAACGGATTCTAAATTTGCAGTTTATATACAGGATGCCCCGACATGTAAAACCTAAAAAATAATGCCAATATTATATAACATATAATATATAATATATAATATATAATATATAATATATAATATATAATATATAATATATAATATATAATATATAATATATAATATATAATATATAATATATAATATATAATATATAATATATAATATATAATATATAATATATAATATATAATATATAATATATAATATATAATATATAATATAATATATATATATATATATATATATATATATATGTATATCCCGTTTCCTTTATAAGATACAAATTACAGATCCATCTATCCCTTCTAGCTGGTTCACTTGGTTCAAGTTGTCTTTTATAGATATCCATATTTTTGTTAAATATTTTGTCAAGTTTTTGAGATATTGTATATTTTGTAGAGAAAAACATGAAAGTATATCAACCCGTATCTTAGCCACTTTCAAAGGGACTTTCTTAATTTTGTGACATAAAGTCACTTCTCTGGGTTTTCAGGTTAGCAGGAAAAATAGTGGAACTTAAAAATGTTAAAATACGCAAGGTGTCCGATTTGAATAATTTGAGGAATAAGGAATTTTGTGTTTTTAAGAACTCTTTTTAACTAATTGGGTCGAAGAATTTAAGGAATGGGTAAGCTAGATATCAGCTAAAGAATATGAGATACTTTCTTCGGCAAAATCCAGGACCTTTCTGTTAAAAGGGTCAAGGTACTAATTACCATACTTTTATTTTTTTAGACAGAACACACAATATTCTTTCAACAACTATTCGAAAAAAAAGAAGTATGTGGGTCTATTCAAATATGTACTAAAACGAAGGTATATATGAGAAAACCAACTTTGTTATCCAGATTATTAGTTGTACACCCTATATCATCTTGAATACTTAAGAAATGAATTCCCACAGGGATGGAGCAGGATAATCAGTTTTTTAAAAAGTCTGTGTCTCGGAGCTATACTCCATCGATGCAGGTTTGGGCCACACTGTGCATGTGACAGAATTACAATGTTTGTGAGCAGGTCATAAGACATGATGATAAGACTGTAAATAACTGTCTGATAGCTATTATAAATCCGAGCCCAGGATACGCTGTAATAGGGTGAGGACTGCCGAGTCCCTGTATCTGTGAAAGTAGTCATGGAAAGACTTTAGGCCCATGGACACTTTTGGTCTACTTGTTGAATATAATCTCATTCTCCATAAGGTTTTGGCGGAGCCTTTTGTGCGACAATTTATCTCCAGACAACACAACCGTTAGTTTGTGATTTCCTCTGAGGATGCAGCAAGTTGAGTTCACCTCGTATGGATGCAAAATGACAATTGACAAGTTTTGAAAACTTTTGCGCGCTGTTAACAACAAAGAAGCACCAGTACAAGACTTTGGGAGCAAACTTGTAGACGTACATGATACCTTATGCCCAAAGTGGCATGTTAAACCTACCGAATTTGGATCCACGTAGCTAGTCCATATTCTTCACTGACATCTATCTTTCCAGTATAGCCAATGGCTAGAACTCCTGTGAAGACTAATAATTCGTTAGTGTTTTGAACCACTTGTCACAATCTTTGCATGCCATCATATCTATAATAATATACATTTCTCAGTAAATGGGATCTCGGACTACAAGTAAAAGTCCAGCTTTCATGCGTTTATTTGTTTTCGCAAATGAGAGAGCATTCCGCTTGGAATTGCAGCCAGCATACTTGCGGTCAAAGGTGATTGAAACAAAAGAGAACTATTTCGGTATCGTGTTTGAAACTTTCCATCGTTAACCTGAGTGGAAGCAATAGAAGATGGCACTAAAATCATGGTAAAAAATAGATATACTCTCTTTATGCTTATATTTACGATATTTAAATGATAGTAAACCACAAAAGGTATATTTGAGAAATCTGCCCGTTGCTAAAAGTATAAATAGACAAAAAAGGTTAGTCTATAACGTGAGCCCACCCATCCTTGTAACACGTTTTTTTGAGTCTCTGAAACCGGATCCGGGCCAATTCTGTGTGAAAATGCTCCGTTTTTAACATACTACTGACAAAAAGTCTCCGAAAATTGTTACCCGTCTACGAACGTAGCAGAATCTTGTTTTCTGTTTGAATGGGGTGCACAGATTCCTAATTCGATGTCAATTTAGTACTAGAATTCTCGCCTAGCCCCGAGAAACTTGTTGTTTACCAACTTTTCACCCCTAATTCGGCACATTGACGCTTTCAGTGATTTTTTAATGATATTCAAATTAAGGGCGCTAAATTACCTGTATCGTCAGAGCATTGTTCGCATACAGCAACCTGTAAAGAAAACTATTTTTTTTTTCATAAAGTCTCAAATGTCGCATAGTTTCGCAATGTTTCACTAATGTATGTATATGATAAACGAGTTCAGATACATTTGAAATGACTTTTTTTAGCAACCCAAAATACGTACGAAATAGGACATTTGAATCCTATTTAAAGTACTTTAATTTTTAGTACCCGTGTATAGGGTTTCAACGTTAGCTCAACAATCCTTGAAATATGTTTCTTGGGTCGCTGATCTGGGGCTTATACTGTATGGAAGTGCCTTACTGTCGATGTACTGGCAGGAATTCTACTTATCAAAGAACGACTGATCAAAAATCTTCAAAAATTGTTAAGCGTCTATGATCTAGATCGAAGTTTGTTAACCAGGAAAACTGGGTTCGTGGATTCCGAATACGAATAGGGTTGACGATTACCTAGTTATTATAGTTTCTTACCAATTTTTCACCCATAATTCGGCACCATTTAAACTTTTTTCAAGAGTATATTCAAATTACCTCTACAGAGTATCGTTTGCATATAACCACCGGTAAATCAAACTGATTTTTAGCATCTTAAAGTCTCAAGTCTTGCATAGTTTTGTAATGTTTCACCAAATAATAGAATGTTCATGATAAACGATATCAGATACATGCGAAATCACTTCGGATACCGTTTTGGCGTTAGGGTAGTCATGAATATTATGCTTCAAAGATGGCGTCAAATAGGTTGTCCCCATCAGTTCATAAAGGATTGTGCTTATACCAGAGAAGCATAGCATCTGTATCCTGGATGGAGGATAGATGCTATGCTTACGGTTGTTATCTCAGAGACAAAGCCTGGACCATGCTGATGAGTTGACAAAAACACAAACAGTTCTCTGTGG